GTGAAAGTTTTCTAAGCAGATGTTTGGTGCTGCAGGCTTACCCAGCTTGTGAAAGTTCTCAACTTGAATCGATGCCTTGGTGAGATCATTTCGGCACAGAATGCCCATCCAACGGACATAGTTCCTCAAATGAAATGTTTCATGTTCCCTTTATTATGTAACAATGAATGCAAAAGGCGATTTTCGTGGGGTTACTCGAAAAGGCAACATCCACCAAAAGTGCAGTCATAATCAAATTAAAGGAAAAGCCCGCGATCACTCGCCATCACAGATAGTAGATTAGAGGTACGCATATAGACGCAAGGTTCTAAGTAATTCGATAGTGAAAGGAAAGTCAGGAAAAAGATGCCAGCTGGATAGCACCCCATTCCGATCCCAGTTAGTACTCTCCTCATTAACTCCATCTCCAAAACTACGCTTCATCCGTACAGCTGATTCCCGATAAGAACTCTACGACCGTACAAGTGACGATTTTCATGCTTTTCGTCTGCAGCTCGTTTTTCACTGAAAGGCGGGCCTTGAAGGCGGAGTCTGGAGGCGGAGTCACTGGAAAGAAGGAGGCGTCACTGAACCTATACCCCGCTTATTTCGCTATAACGCAGAATATCGAGTCCAATAGCGCCTCGAGCAGGTACATTCGGTTATTGAATTCTCCTGAGGAATTTTGGAAAAGACTTTGGAAAATTAGTGAGAAGTTGGGAAAATTCAGAAGGATGGTGAGTAGGCCTGGAATGGGGAAGGGGGTTACAACAGCGAAGGAATTTTTTAATGGGGAGGAAGGTCGCATATCACCGAAAATTCTCCCAATGGGAACATCCGGGACTGTATTATGGCATGTGTTCCTACCACTCACCTGCTATGGTGATTCCGAGAAGAAAGCGAAACAGATAGAAGAGTGCAATACTGTCGAATACGCCTGAAAACTGGCGAACATATACAGCAGTGCGAAGAATTCAATGCTGTTTTATGTTGACGTAAGTAGCACAACACACCTGATAGGACAAGGAAAGGTATACCAAGGCATAGTGATACCAGTAACATCAAACGTCTTCCGAAT